CTATTATACTCTTACATTAGAAAATACTGCGGCAATACAGCTTACAAAAAAATCTCAAGTATGTGAAAGAGTATGTCAAGTACATCTGATTAATTTCTCTCGTCTACTGAACTCGTTCAAGACAAACAAATTGAACTGCTCAAGAATGATTCAGTTCAAGTAAGATGATATAAAAAAAAGAGGAAGTGACATGCTAGACATCAATTAAGACGAATAACCCGGCCGTTTCAACAGAGAACAGAATTATTAATTTGATCATTCGGAAACGCTTAACACCGTTTCTTCCTCTATATTTTTCTCGAGAAATGTCTAGCAAATGATGAGGGATGCCTGGAAATCGTTTTAGTGAAAGAATTCTAAGCGAATTTGCCTAATGCACCTATTGCATTCGTCTATTTGTTCAGCTGCATTCGTGCGAAATGAACTTATGGATTCCAATGAGTAAAAAAGCAGTGTCTGCAAACATCCATCGCAAACTCAGTGCAGACACCACCGAAGTGATATCAAAATGTACTTTTTACGATGCGAAAATGAAATAAAATGCTTAATCGTTGGATACTTAAACGAACAAACTGCAAAACGATACTGGCTTGAAATTTGAGTCGGCAAGCAAAACCCGGCCGTATGATTTCATATAATCTATCGATGAGCTAAGCAACAACGACTAATTTTCACTCATTCGCAAAGTTTCATCCCATAATTGAAATTCAATTCGCCATAAATCAAGCACTTTTTTCTACACCATAAAATGCAATGGTCCAATTCCACTTTGAATTCAGCACAGCCCATTTCATAAATGAACATTGAATTGAACAAAAAAACTAACTCACTGATCGATGCATGATTAGACTGATCAAGCGATGAACGTTCCTATCAGTTGATTAATTAAACAATTCAATTACTGAATCTTACAGAGTCGATGGAATCGACGATCCACTCAGTTGCTGGTTTCCATGAACAAAACACTGACGCGGAAGGCTAAGAGTGTGAATTGAGAGGAAAATATATAGGCGTTGAAAATGAACGATGAAGCTTCTGAATACAACCAACCACGCACGAGTCATATCTACTGAGAATGAACAACATTTCAAGTGAACATTTTTGTTGATGAATGATGAATTCAAGTAACGTTCTTCGAATATACAAACAAACAAATAAGCGAGAATGCCATCCATATGGATGTGCTATAAAGCTTATAGTTGAATCTAATATGTACATCTCATAGATATGCGGATATAGACAACAACACTGTTCAACAGAGGATAATCCATTGCAGCTTAATTAACACGGAGGGGAGCTCCTAAATTTACGAATCGCCTTCAATACGAAACACTCGCTTTGCTGAACACATTCAAGAGCAGTTTTGGACATGATGAAAAATTTGAAAAATTACTCTTTCCATTGACTGATGGTAGGTATACCATCATGAATTGTCAACAGCATATTTGAAATGATAGATTGTGAAGACTACCTGGGAAATACTTTTGCTTTTAGATTTCAATTCAAACGGGAACGGGATCAACTTCAGTGGCTGCTAGCAGCTATAACGATTGATAAGGGATCCAGCTACTGACTTTAAAGTTGTATCAACTCATTTCATTGCTTTACCTTTACATATAAAGCAATAATATTTCATTCACATATAAAGCAATCAATCGATCTAGGTTCAATTTACATTAGTTCAATTAATACTTTCATGAGAATTCACATCTTCTCTGGCTTGTTTTCCATGAACACATTAAGAAATTCTCCATTGCGCAATTAAACTCAAAACTTCACTGTAATTCATCAACTCAAGAGATTTGCTATTAGACTTGCTTCACTGAACATCAGCTGTTAGATGTTTCAGAGGTAAGAAACATCACAGCTTAGTTAATTGAGAGACTACGATGCATGAGAAATGGTATGCATCTGATCAAGAATGTAACTGATTT